CTGAAGGGCAGAGTTTACAACGCAGCCGTCTGTTCAACTCTCCTATACGGCTGTGAAACCTGGCCCATCAGGTCGACAGACATGAAGAGGCTCGTCACATTCGATCCTCGCTGCCTTCGCAGCTTAGCTCATGTCTGGTGGGAACACCCCGTGAGTAATGAGCGTGTTCGGCTTCGCGTATTTGGTGCAGGCAGAGCGAGTGAACCGCTCAGCACCATTATATCACGCACCAGGCTCCGATGGTTGGGCCACGTGTTGCGAATGCCAGTACACGGACCCTCGCGACGTGCATTGTTTGCACGTTGTGGGTGCGGTTGGAAGAAAAGGAGGAGGGGAGGCCAAGTGATGACTTAGTCGAGAGAAATGAAAATCCTCACTTCGAAGTTGTCGTCGGTTGGTGCATCCCGACTGCCTAGCTGGGGTCCTAAGGACGGTGAGCACGTTTAGTTGGACATACCTGCTGATATGGCTTAGAGCCGGCCCCAATGGCGTTTGTGTTGTGAGTTCCTTTGTCCATCCCCTCCTGCTTATCATCCCCTTCCAATCACGATCTCACTTGTTAGGCATAATACGAGTCTCTTTTACGACAGCCAGCTGTTAGCTCTCCGGAACGATGTCCATCCGTTACTGGGGACTCAGCGGGCGTGCCACTATTTTCCTTTTCTTGTCTTTTGTATTGCGGCACAATAGCTGAGGTGTTTTCCACCTCCAGCTAAGGTGTAATGATGATGATGATGATCTTCCGAGGTCCTTAATGACCTATCGTATCCACTGCATAGTGGTTTTACAAAAACGCTTCTTACTCTATGCCTACAGAATTTGAGGTTTTATTTTCCCGCATACCATCTTAGGTTATCTATCACATTTGTTTGTTGACCCAACGAAAGACGTGACCATACTGCGCGAGTAGTTGTTTATATTTGAGTTGTGTATATGTCTCACTTTTCTCTATGCTTATGTATTTTTCATTGCTATTGTCTTCCGGTACAACCACAGCGATAGTGTAGATGCCGAACATAAACCCTTGAAATACTCTTCTCCTTACTTAGAGTGTGCAGTAGTACAGCTGTCCTGGTGGCTTCGGACTACACGAACTCCGTAGTCTATCTCCATCTTCAGAAGCTGAACATCATTTTATTCTTTTTTGGACTAGACACTTGTTGTACTGGCCATAACTATCGCTATATTCTTCTGTGCGCTGCACACACACACCACACACACTTTATGAGCAGTCCGGTTTGTTAGAGGAGTGATAAAAATGAAGGTATGCGTGTGTGTGTGTGTGACCGTTCATGACTGCAAAATGTCGTTTTCTCTGGGGGTTCACTGACGTTTATTTTAACGTATCATTTCACTTTCCCTGTTGGCTATTTACAGTCGTTGTTTTTGCTTCCCTATGATAGCCCTACTCTGACGGTAACATCCTCACTTTCCGTTCTCTGTGTGCAACTACAACCTTCTTTATCTGTTCAGTCTTTATTGGCTTTCTTGTCCGCACGCTTTCCACACTCTGCTTAGCGTCACCTTTGTGCTTTATGCTATGTAACGAAGTCGTTTACCGATGCAATAGAACCCCTAAATCCTTGTCCTTTGTTTGTCGTATTCTCTACCAAGCTTACCCTGACCAGCTTATCAAATCCAACAGACGTCAAACATTTCTTCAGACACCGGCGACGCGATTGAACTCATTCAACAGGACAGTAACACATTTACAAACACAAGCAACACACCTACCTACATACCTAAATTTATGGATCCACATGTATGAAAATCCTGTTATACTATTGCACATTTAATGATCACTTGTTGTACTCTTACTATGATCACTCCTTTAATGGCGTGCCTTGCGTTTAGCCGTGAATAAACATTTATTTATTTATTAATGGGCGGGAGCATTTGCTGGGTCTGACACCTCGGGTGTCCACTAAACGACTGGTTACTCTGCGTTAAATGTCACGACATCGTCCTTGGTTGTGGATGGTACATTCCGGCACGAGGTTTCCGGCCTGTCCCAGGCACCCTCCTCGTCACCGACCATAGCCTGATACGTGCCTAGGTAAAAGTCAGCCTTCCCATTTTAGCTACGTGATTTCGAAGATACTTGTCTCCCACGCTGCTTCTCCGTGCACCTTCTCGCGTCCGCTTGGTGATCAGAGTGGTTCAGACTCTTATCCATGGGTCATCAGTTCGAACCTGCGTACATGCAGGCAATCACATATTTTCAGCCCACATACGATACGTGCTGCTTGCTTGGTAGGAGCTACAAGTCTTTGGGTAGAGCGCTTTCCTTCGTCGGAATGCCACTTTCAACCCTTTCGCAGTATGTCATCATAATCGAATTCCGGTACTGGGTCGGGAACATAGTAAACAGGTCAGCGGTATTGTGAATACCACACATTTCCAGGCAAGACTCTTGTGAATAAGACAATGGTCGAACACGTTGAACTCTCTACTCACTCTCAGTCACGTGGTCTTCGGCACTAGATCGATCCCTTCAGAGCTCAGTTGATCTATTCTGGCCTACCGAACCTCATAATTGGGTCTTTTGCGCCCCACTGAGAAGTTATGGGACACGTCCCACTATCTGCGGGATCGAATCACGATCAAGAGCCCGCCAAATATTTTTCCGTCGCCCAAGGTTACCATGCTCATCCGTTGATGTTTTTACTTCTGCGATACCCGCTTCTTCTAGGCACGAGTATCGCAGTCGTCTGGTTCCTAGGTAGGTCCACATGACAACCAAACCAGGACTACCGAGTACCGTTGAAAACTTTCCACCGGCTTATTGTCGTGTTAAGCGTTTACCTTTTGAACCGGATTTTTCTATTCCTGTCATAGTGCGAGTTTTCTACATCGACGCCTTTTTCTGCATCCAGTCTTGGCATTTCCCATGACGCCGTTTCGGTGATCTCTGGATGATATCGCATCTCCGTGATGCCTCCAGCGGTATGAGGCTGGAGACTTCAATTCCGTAATTTGGAATTCATTTCTGTCCAAATTACTCGCAACCTGCTAACCACAACAACTCATAGGGAGATGTATCGTGCTAACTATCTTCGTCTTTGTTTCCGCTTCATCGTGAAGTGGTTTGGGTGCATGATCAAACTCTGGAGCTACAGAGTAATATTCCTGCTTCCCCGGTTGGAACCCTTTTGATCCGAAACTACTCTGTATTCTTTTTCGGTGTCTCACTCACTCTTTTCTCCTTTTGCCTGACTTATCGGTTGCTCTTTTTTGATGGCGATGTATCGTTATCGGCTTGTCTAATGAGTCCGTTGTGTGAGAGTGGATTAGGACACTCATTCCCTGTTCGGGCTACGGTTTACCTTGAAGCGAATCTCTATCCGTCCGGTTACCTTGGCCATATCTGATTTAGTGGCGTGTTAGGTATTGTTTAGCCAGCACCTAACTAAAGCATCTATTGCCAATCTCCAGCTGAAGAGTGCTTGCAACCATCAACACGGTCGTGCGGATTGCACTGTTTTGAACGACCAACGCCAAACATTTACCTGCTGAAGTATATTGTTCTCACTCTGATTCTCAAGTCACATTTGGTAACTTGTACTGAACCCAACCATATTATCTCTATGCAGCTGTTTGTTGTGTTATGTTCGATATTTCCAATATCTTTTGGAAAATTCGCCACAGGCATGCTACTTCCCATGTTTCTTGAAAACCGCTGTATAAGCGTGTCATCCTTTTGGAACCTGTCAATATCCAGCACGTGTTGGATCCTACTAGATCCGTGCCACAGAGCCATGTTTGACGGCGACAGACCGCCATGACCAACTACCAACTCCGTTATAGGGCGGCTCATCCTCCATTGTCATGCATGGTATGAACCTGTAAAGGATAGGGCTGGCCCCCAAAGCTACGACTTCCTTCGCAAACCACCACTGCTCTGGGTTGCATATAGGCTGCTGTACGACTACTGGTTAATGGAGAGTAGTAGGAGGATTTTTCGTTTCTGAAATTGTTCTTCAACTAGTAATGAGTAGTGAGGATTTTAGTATTATTCAGAGATATTTCATCACGGTTCACTCTCAGTCAGTAGGCTTCGGCAAGTCTGGAAAAGCACCATACAGCGCTGTTTCGACCTTCTGGGTTTCGTCAGTGGTGCGCCTCCCATCAGACCCCGGCCGGTTTCCGACCCATGACTTCAGGATGCCAGCAGCTAGTGCCACTTCTCCTTGGGGGACAGACGCGGACCTGCACACTTGACACTTGCCTATGACCTAGCCCGGCTCATCTTCCACTGCCATACCAGTTACGAATTGTGCAGAGGACAGCAGTTAGACCCACGAACTTGGACTTTCCGCATAGTTCCTGTGTGCGACACAGGACTTAGAAGCTATACGGACAGATTTTTATATTACTAATGTGTTGTAGGGATTTTGGTATAATTCAGACAGTCCATCACTAGGCTTGCCCAAACAGCCGCACACATCAGGAAATGCACTAGATGGCCGTTTTGCCCTATTTGGGTTGTTCAGAAGCGCGCATCCGAGCTCATGGCCTTATTCTCATGAGTCACTGACCTAAGCCACCGCCATTGCTGATTACTGTTTATAGTATCAGTTAAGTTTTACTCGGACTCTTAATAGTGCCAAGGTTTGATACAGTTTCCCAGTCAACTTGACACGTTTCCTTTTGAATTACTTGATATGACACTGTGTGTTATCATTATCGTTCGCGCGTATTTTTGGCTGACCAAGGAGTTGGACTATTCAATGAATGCCCACTTTACATCCGAAACACTGACTAATCATTGTCCATCACTGTTGACTTCAAATGGCGCAGCGATTTTTATCTTGCTCTGCTCTGGAAACCTCGCCGCAACCATGCTTTGTGCCGTCGCGTTAACCAGATAACAGAACTCAACCCTCTTCCGTCAGCACTGCCATTGAACGCTGATTCTTGTTTGTGGACACTATGCTTGTTATCTTCTGTGCATCTTTGTGCCCTGCACTTTTTTGTTGTTGTCCACTTTCCGTCCGCAGCGGGGAAACGGGGTTCAAAGCACTGTGCACTATGATTGGTTGGGCAGAACGCCCGATGCTTGACCGCATTCATCTACTGGATCGAAACGTCCCCATCACATTCATTTTTGGATCCCGATCATGGCTGGATATGTCTTCAGGCACCAAGACCAGGGCTCGTCGTCCCGATTCCTATGTGGACATCAAGGTAGTTGCACGTGTGACCACCAGTACACTATTATCTTGTTCTTATGTTTCAAGCTATGATCATGTCGGGGTGGTACTATTACTACTACTACTACTACTACTACTACTACTAATCATAGTGACGCACTTTTGTCCTCAGCTTTACTCAAAACCCAATCCACAGTTTGGGAATTTCCTGTTTTAACCATCCTCTTGTTCCATCAATATTTCTAACGTGGACAGTTGTTTGCTTCGATGGTACCTATTCTAAAGTTGGATCGGTACAGAGATAACTAGCATGATCTCCGTACAAGATTTACATCCGAAAAAGGGATGCTTAGCATATTTGTGACCCCCATAATTGTCTTTTGGATGGCTGGCTTGAAATCCGCACACCCGGCGTTCGAGCCCCCGTTCATCCATAAGTTTGTAATTTCTTACCGTGTCTCAGCCAGCGTGCGGCCGCTTAGATTTGCATCGAATGACTTCAGATCCGTGGTTTGTTGATTCGAGCGTTCGCTCGCCCCTATTTCCAAACCCTGTGTTCTAGTGCCAACTTCTACCTGGGTTTGGGCACCCTCGCGTTATCCCAACGAGCGTACAATCGGTTGCTCTGCACCGTCACGGAGTACCTGTGCGTTGGTAATACCTTGTTTTCATCATCACACGCCTATAACTGCGTTCAACGTACTTTCTCGTCTGAAAAAGTATAGTGAATTACCGAGTGCACTTTAAACCGAAAGATTTTAAGTGTTGGTAGGCGTATATCACAGTACAGGTCGGGGCGTGGTTTGTGGTTAAACTAATTCAGTTTGTGTGCGCCATCTGCCTTGTACTTTCATTGTTCCTATCAGGATTTTTCTTCCTGAGATTCCGTGCACGGCGCTGATTCGTTCCTAGAATACTGTACCAACATCCGAAAATGCGTTCTTGTTCATCACTGGTAGTAACACGGTTTGTCCTAAGTCCACAAGACATACTTAGCTCTGCGCATAAGTGTACTGTGTGTTGCTAAACTCTTGGATTCGACCAAGCAGTTTAACACGAACAGATGCGGAACTTAGCTGCTTTTTCAAGGCTTGAAATTGAGCGTACATGTTTACAGACGATAGATTGCCTAAATAACTTTAGGTCTCGAGAATTTTTTGGACTTGCAGCAAATTACATGACAGCGTGAAAACATTACACCATGTGTGCTAATAATAATAATAATAATGTGTCACCTGTACGCCGTAACGGGGCTTCGCTGCCGTGCGACGACCACCAGTGGCGCGCGGGCTGAGTATACCGCGAGGACGCCCACCCCTACGCGGATTCGAATTGGTGACCTTATGGTTGTAAACCAAACCCGCAGATCACGGCCACCGGTCGACACCAGGTGAGCTAACGAACGCTGGAGACCCGCGTGACCTAGGTTCTTCGGCAGCCTATCGACGCATAGGTCATATGCATTGTGGTATACATCCACTTATAAAAGCTCAATGGTCACATAGCACTTACTCGTCATGTGACCGTCTACCTTTTACACGGTCGTCGTCTTCCGTCTTTCTATGCTGTAGATCATCGATGGCGCAGGTCACCAAGTGTATGCTCATGCCGCGGAAGAATTCAATCAGTATGTGAACACTGTTGGCAAACGCGTTGATGCTGGTGACCTTTTCCGCCCGTCCGACTATCAGAATACCCCAAACGACACTGACAGTCTTATCCGAACTAACGAAAACCGTTTATCGAAGAGGCGTTCTGTTGGAAGTTCCAACTACCTCGCACAAGCAGCGCTACTTCCAGACGAGCACAACCCATCCACTTCCGAAAACATACTCGATGAAGAGGTAGAAACAAATGATGTTCCCGAGTAGTTCTTTCTGGGCTTCCTCCACCCTCATCTATCCGATGAGGATTCTCCTCAGTGATCAAAAATTACTGTCTCCCCACTGTTTGCTGAAATGCTAATTCAACTCCATTGTTACTGCAGTTTGCCCAATCAGATTGACCATATCCCTTTTCCGACTCTGCTTTTCTGTGAGCTTGTCCCTGTTAATATCTCCCATGTATTTTTGCGTTTAATTTTAACCACTGAATTTATCCCACTTTCATGATTCGTTATCCTACTAGTCCAGTTCGCAACACTTGTTTTTTAGACTTTTTAATTTATTCTATTCAAATACATTTTTAGTTTTCCATTCTCTGTTTTCCACTGACCCAGTTACGAGGTCTATTTGTGTTTGTTGCCGATTTCAGCCTATCTCCCCCCTCTCTCTCCATGTATTCTTTTTCCGTCGTCATCGTATTACGTCTTGGAAGCTTCGTAGCAATTTACTTAGCCACTAACATTAATTATCCGACTGATCGCTTTTAGCCTACTAGCGCCTGAAGCTTCATGTTTATCTCACTTCAAACTGCTCTTTGGTTCATTTCGAGTCTGGTTTCTTTGGTTCAGCCATGTAGAATTAGATTTTCCCTGCACTGTGTAATGTTATCGGTCACGACTTGGACTGGTACAATTGTGCCTAGGGTTCTCCAAGGTAGGCTGCTTTCCGCTTAACTGTGTCGTACTGCTTTTTCTCGCTGTAGCGGATTCCCCCTGGAGTTCTTTGCTTTCCTCATATCGGCGTTCAATTTCACAGCACTTAGGCATACAACGGTAGCAGCATTTTGTTGGATCTTCTAACATCTGGCGAGTTCGTTTCAAGCGAAACTAGTTTCTCAAAGACAATCAAGACCGTAAGCAATCGCTTGTTTCAACACCAAGGTTCTTGGCATAAGGAGCAGTTATCCATTACTACGCTTTAGATTACCGCCATGTTTTTATCGCGACACGCAATTTCATTTAGAACCACAGTAGCGTTCCATCACCGAAGCCGTCGCGGCAATGGTGTTAATCACTCCTGGCGTGTCGTTTAACGACCAATTTCATCCTTGATTACTCCATGACCCCTCGATCAATTCCCAGCCACTGTGCCAGCCATGACTCGTGGATCTCAGTGGCCTAAGGAGAGCAAATTGTCAACCGTCGACATATAATGATAAGCACATTTAAGAATACTCCAACAATCTGTTACATGGAGTTTACCGGTCATGGTAAAAACTTGACACTTCCACCCAATGAAGTGGAATGATAACATCGGCTCGTTACGAACTCTAATCGCTGAGTCATTGTCACACCATGCATATTGCGACCACGCATATGTTAACTTTGTCCTGCATAGGATCAATCTCCACTAAATAAAGTCACTGTCCCTTGCCTCTCCCTTAGAGGCATTGTACTTCAAGGGTGCGTTGGGCCCCTGGTGCTTCACGGACCGAAAGGCGTATGAACCATTTATTTGGTCCCCGGCTCCCAACGGGTTGCGACTCCCTCACATCTACCTGCTGCCTTGTAGGTTAGATCTTTGATCAAAGGCTCGGGGTAGGGCCCCCTAAGACAACCCTCTAATTCGGCCTGGGCAACCGGGTAGTATCACGCCCACTGACGAATCATAGACCACACTGCTTACTAGTGCTCCTGCTATGCCTATCTTCTGTGCTAACTCAACCTCCACTCACAGATCACCCCACCTCCCGTCCTTCATCTATATGTGCCCATATATCCTCTACGCTCACCGTCACAAACGACCCACGTCTCGCAACGGATGGAAGCAACAGCCGAACTTTCGCTTTTCAATGTCCTGCAATCGCAACCGCCTTTCACTCCACCGAAGCTCCAGCTCTTCTTCGATCTGGTTCTCCCTTTATCCTCGCAGCGTTTAATGTTCGAACTATGATGCAGATCGGACGACAAGCACGTCTGGCCCGTACTCTTGAGACGCTTTCGTTAGACATCTGTTGTCTTTCAGAGACCCGATTTCATGACTCTAGTGCCGTCATCAGAATGGCCTCTCCGGTAAACCTGACGCCAAATACCACTTGCGGCTTTCCGGAGACCCAGAAGCTGCCGCGACTGGTCAAGTTGGTGTTGGGGTTGTACTGCGTTCCATGGCTGAATCGGCTCTGCTTGACTGGATCCCAGTCAACTATGTGCATTCAGACTATGAGGTTCATGTAAGGTAAGCAGGCTTCGAGATGTTAAGCGTACCTTGTGTGTCGTCTCAGTCTACGCCCCTACAAACTGCAGCCCGGATGCAGTTAAAGATAGTTTTACCAGCAGCTACATGAACTTCTGCGTTCCTCCAAAAGGACTGATATAGTCATACTTGCAGGGGATTTTAACGCACGGGTTAGCCGCCTTCCACCAAAGGAGCACCACCTTGGGGGTAGTTTTGGTCTCGGTGGCAGTCGATCAGACAATGGAGACAGACTGCTTGCTCTTTGCCCTCATCATCGCTTGTATCTTTCGAGCACTAGCTTTTGGCACTCGAGGTGACACACTGCTACCTGGTGCCCGCCCTCACAAACGCAAGAGTGCTCCCAGCTTGACCACCTAGCAATCTGCTACAGATGGCGCGTAAGAGTAACGGACTGCCGATCGTACTGGTCAACTTATCTCGACTCCGATCATGCATTGGTTCGTGCTAAGATTTGCATGCGTTTCGGAGGATCATCTAAGCGCGTTCATTACGGACTGGACGTCACAAATCTACAAAACCCTGCAATTTTAAGCAGGTACTAAGCCTCACTGTCAACTTACTTGGCTCAACTATTGATGGTGACCTAGATTCGCAGTGGGCGCGTATCAGAGATGCTTTAGTTTCCGCCAGTATCGACACTTGTGGAGTTGCCCGTCACCCACCGAAGCATTGGATTTCCGCTGTCTCCTTGTCGATAATGGACAAGCGCCGCTTGATCCCCGTCGGATTCCAGAGACAGTGAAGAACGCCAATCCCTGGGTCGAGAGTTGCGCAGGAGACTGCGAATGAACCGTGAAGCTTGGTGGCGTGAACATGCTAGGGAGATGGAGCTTGCTACTCTTTCTGGTAATACCAGCAAACATTTCCATCTCATTCGAGTCACCGAAGGTGTTCGATCTGGTATAAGTGAAACAATATGCGAAGAGGGTGGCACCTTAATCACTAATCTTCAACGACGGTTGGAGCGATGGACCGAACATTTTGGCTCGCAGTTTTGTTGGCTCCCAGCTCTATCTGCTACCACTGGCGTTCGCTCTGAGGACGAGTGGTCTACCCCCACAGATCCTCCCTCTTCCTATGGGATCGAGCAGGAGCTCCGGCACATGAAGCGTTATAAAGCAGCTAGCCCTGATGGTCTTCCGCCAGCTCTAGGTAATGGTGGCGGCGCATTGCTGGTTCGAGAACTCACTGCTTTGTTCTCTAAAGTTTGGTGGTAAGCGGAACTTACATTATCTTGGGGTGAATCTATAGTCGTCCCCATCTTCAAATGGGCCTGCGCGCAATCTGCTCCAACTACAGAGGCATAAGCTTGGTCCCCATCGTTTGCAAACTGCTGGTGGCCATCATACTTCGCAGACTATCCCCAACGCGCGAATCGTTGCAACGAGAAGAACAAGCCGGGTTTCGCCGTGGTCGCGGCTGCATCGATCAAATATTCTCACTTCGCCAGATGCTCCAGCTCCACCATGTGAATCAGAGGCCAAGGATTGCTGTATTCCTGGATATCTGTGCACCCTTCGATTCTGTCGATCGTACGGTACTTTGACGCTGCCTATTGAAGAGTGTCGTCCCCGAGAAGTTCCTCTCCATACTGTGCGCTCTCTATACTCTTACTTCAGACAAGATTAATGATTATGCCAAGCTTTCGCCTACCTTTGTGGTCTCCAGTGGAGTTCGACAAGGATGCCCTATCTCTCCGTTCCTATTCAAGTTTGCCATTGTGGATGTCTTCAATAACGCTCTGAGCGATTCGTTGAACGCTGGCGTTGAGCTCCTCCCAAGTAGTCGAGTTGTTGATTTGGACTATGCTGATGGTATCGTCTTGCTGGGTGACGATCCACACGTCGTCCAACTTGCACTAAACCGCTTGGCGATTGAAGCGTCAAAGTATGGTATGTACTTTTTGCCATCCAAATGCAAGGCTCTCTTTCAAGACTGGTAGGTGCATTTGCCTGCACTCACTCTTGCTGGTGGGACACTAGAGGTTGTGGAGAGCTTTGTCTACTTGGGATGTTGCGTCACTGCTGGTGCGGCTCTGGAGACGAGATTTCGGTGCGCATCTCGAGAGCAGGCCTCGGTTTTTCTGGGCTGAGGCACTTGTGGCGTCTCCACGACATTCGTCTCTCCATCAAAAGACGGGTCTATTGTGCAACTGTTCGTGTTTTACTGTTATACGGATGCGAGACCTGACCAATTCGTAAAGATGACTTGCGAAGGTTATCCGTCTTGGAGCACCGCTGTCTGCGGTCCATTGGTCGTGTGTGGTGGCAGCACCACGTTAGCAGTGTGGAAGTTAGACAGCGTGTCTTAGGACGTGGAAACGACTCGCTCGAGTAGCTCGTCTCACTGCATCAACTGCGGTAGTTGAGACACATATCGCGCATGTCTGTCCAGTGTTACCCACGTCGTGCGTTGTTTTAGGTTGTTGGTCAGGGCTGGAAGAGGCGGTCTGGTGCACAGCCTGCAACATGGAGAAGCCGCATGAAAAAGCTGACGAAACATTTGGCCTCGGCCGGTTGTTGTCGACTACCTGGTTGGGGTCCGAGAGATGCGAATACTTGCTGGTTGAAGATTTTGGAAGCCATGCTTCAAGATCAATGTCAATGGCAGGCATGTGCATCGGTGTTTTATGGTGTCCGTTCTTCCTCCCCCTAAGAAAAAGAACAAAGTGAAAAAATATTTCAAAAACTGTGAGTGGTAGTTAGACAAAAAACACTTTTGTTGTTGTTGCTCTTTTCTTATTGTTCATACTGTTTCTCCTATTTAGCCATATATCTGTACCACAGGTTATATATATACATATATATATATATATGTATATATATATATATATATATATATATATATGATCAATCTCTCACTACAGCTAGCAATATAAACATCTGTTTCTATCTCGATAGCGTTACCTCAGCTCCTTGTCTTTGTTGTGATTACAGTAAGGTTATCCAGCAACGAATTATGTCGAACAAGTTGCGTTGTATGGCTACGTGCTACCCATGCCCGGTCACCGTTTACGGAGAAGTGCTTTGTTTTGTTTGCAAGATATATGGGGGCACAAGGCTCTAGTTGGGACAAAGTTGATGTGGAATGAAATCACTGACGAATAAACTAGGTTCTCTCGGTCCTTCTCGGCTCCCACACTAGTCCACGTGACCCACCTTGTGTTAGGGTCGAGTCATTACAGGACGTGGCTCTCAGTCGGCATCACTTTACGTGTTTGCTGTTTTTTAATTGCATGGACTGTTTAAATTGAGTTTGGTACTGTATTATCTGCTAGTTAATAGCTTGTTATAACGCGGGGCAATAAAGGCCGAAGTGAAGCTGTTTCGTCGATCGCTATCTTATCTTTGCATTATAGCCATCTGTTTGTGACGGTATGTTGTTGACAAAGGGTACAGGCGCCTTGACTCTGAATGTTTGCTTTTGGCGTTAAAGTCTTTCTTTAAGCCCTTTTCTCCCCTTATTATTCCTTTTTACGTAGGGCGTTGTAGTTTAATGACGGCAAAGCATCAGTTAAAATGGCTGATGCACCATTAAGGTTGATGATGATATCCAAACATTACTAACCATCACTTTTTGGCATATTTTTCTCCTCTTATATTTTCTTGGCCACATACCACTATTTACTGACACCATGGCAACTCGGCTGCTGGTAGCTGGATCCGTTGCAATCAGATGCTCATGCCTTAGTCGACCAGCTGACCTCCACTGTTACACTCAAGGTATCTGACTACGTGCTTCATCCATTGCTTAACTCACCCTTCGGGTACGCCGTGGTTATTTGCAATTGTGCCTATGAACAACCAGGATATGTTTGTGTCTGCAGAGGGATTATGGTTGGCTTAAGCTGCACCGCCTCATCCACATACCCAACATCCAATTGAATTCAACGGGGTACGATCAAGAGGCATGTGATTGAGAGCCACGATGGATTCGGTAGTTATCTTCCTTCTAACACACACGTCACTGATGTGAGGCTTGACGAAACGTATGTGTGGAACGCACACGGAAATCGCTGCGTCTTAACACTTTTCATGAACAAACCATACCTGAGCCTGTCGCTCTCGCGAAGACTGCAACCCGGTTACCCCAGCATCATTATCAACAGCAGCAGTACAACGGTACTTTGGATTAGTGCCTCGCGACCGTACAACCATTCTCATCTTCAGATGAAGGAATAACAAGAAAGAGAGAATGGGGATCTCGCGTGAAAATTTAACCCCATAAGCAAACATTCTGAGTCAAGGCGCCTACATTCTGTGTCAGCAACATACTCTCGCAAACGTCTGGCTATCGTGCAAAGACTAGACGGCATCAGCGGGACATCTGCATTTCAGCTTTCAATGCCCTGAATCATAATCAGCCGTTACCTCGCAGATAGCTCAACGTCAAACATAATTCAAACAGGCACTCCCACTAGAATGCGACAGCAAACACGCAACTTATACCGACTGCGAGCTACGTCCCATAACTTCTCAAGTCAAGCACAAGGTGGGTCACGTGGACCCTATCCTGAAGCGCGAAACGAACTAACCATACCTAGTTTAGTCGTAAGTGACTTCATTTCCACCCCGTTAACTTATGTCCACATCGAGCCTAGCGCCACCCTTAATCCAGCACACAAAACGAGGTCCAAGGTATGTGGTGACTGGGCATGCCTAGCGCTTGCGAAAACCAGCACAACTGTAGTTGGTAATTGACTTGGCGGCGGTGCGCGGATTTCGGCATCCAAAGTCTACCACTCTTTCATCAACGTTCTTTACACTCAATAACTATTTTTATTCATTCTCCGTCAAATTCTGTCATAACTGGGTACTGTAATTAAATCAGATCACAATATAGACTGTCGAAAACCTCCCTACCCCTTCAATTTTTCCTTTTTTTCAATCATCTGTCCACGTCACCTTATCAATCGGCTGTTTCCAACGGTGTTTCCACCCACATCTAGTTGCCATCATTCACCGGAACCGTTTTTGTCTATCGTAGGTGAAATAGCTATGAGTTTGATCCGCCTGCGCGCATCAAACTTTTGGGTCTTTTCGATTTTTTGCTACCACATAAACACAGGCAGATTATTGTTACTTCGCAGTACCGCCTTGTTTGCACTATATTCCGCAACGGACAGTTGCGTTCTGTTTGGCGGTCGTTTGCGGTCTCCTTTGTCCGTATAATGGACCATCCCAAGCTACTGGTTGATCCCTACCTTCGACGTTTGTTGGACAGAGTAAATTGGCAGCTAGACGCGTTCACTTGCACCTGTCATTTCGTGCTTGGATTAATCCGCATCTTAGTCCAACGTTGGCCACTTCGCATATACGTCCATTGGTTCATAACGGGTCAACATAGTACTGATACCTCGACACTGGACAATCACATGCACCGGTTGATTAGCTTCGACTTCTCAAGTCGTACTTGTCTACCATTGTTACCTCCCCCTCGGTGAGGAACGTATGTGGGAAATGTGCAGCCCAATGCTGCTATTCGCATCCGTTCCTCATCCCCACTCTACCGAACTTCACTGTGCGTATGTCTGTTATTATCTACTATCCTAGGACAGCCGAAGAAGTATCCTCCGTATTCCTCCTCTTAAAGGAAAAGCGCTTGTCATTACCCATCTGCCTTATTGTGAGGACTAACGAAAGCGGTTCGTTTCCCCACGCTTATTTCTTCCATCGGTTGACTTCTGGTTGTTCCTCTTTTGCCTAAGCACGTGAGACTGACTGCTCGCGTTCGCGTCTTTTTAACCAGTGAAAATCCTCCCTCGACGTCCCTCCTTCGCCCCCTTCTTAATTCTCTGGCTTTAACTACTTTAGAATACGGTATATATCCCGTAAATTGTGGTTTCACAGTTTCATCTTTCTTTCTGTGTTTACTTAGTTCTAAGCCGTCGCTTGTGTCATTGCCTGTGGTCAACTTCAGTGTGAAATATATTACACGTTTTGGAACCACTTCACTTACGCTGTTGCACTCACAAAGATATCTATGGTAATGTGTTTGACTTTGTGTGTAACCTGACAGGGTTAATCGGTATATCCTACGGGAAAAAAGCCCTTTCAGTTACCTGATTCAATCCGTAATGTGCTGTTTTTCATTGGATACTTTCCTAACTTTTTTAAATCTTCTCTGGCTTTTGTGTTGCACTAGTATCTTTCGAGTCTGTTTCTGCTTCATGTGTCCGCTTGTCTGTTGCCTCGTGGTACCTGTCTAACAGACTTTCTGTTTTTACTCTCAAACGGTCAATTTTCTTTTTTAGCGCGCCATCCATTCGCATTTCACCTTTGATGTACATGCATCAATATGTCTTTCACATCGGTAGGCTCCGTTTCTGCCACCAGAATCGGCGCTCATTCCCCCATGGCCCACTCCTACGTTGCCACCACTCACAAAAACATCGCTAACGATGCATCTCAATCTGGACTGGCCAAGCGGCCAGTTGTCGAAAGTCCCCGTCATTCTCCTCCCCCTCCTCCAGCAAAGCGATTTGCAAATTCCTCCTCCCGTCCAGCTGTCGTGGATGGGGCAAACAACACCGGCCAACACAAAACGGCTAATCGTCTTCCAGTCTGCTTGAAAAAACTGGTTCGTTCGATTGTGCGAACCTTTTACTCACGGGAACATTCCCTCATTGTGGACATGTTGGTGAGTAGTTGGCATGTGTATTGCAATGCTTGATTATAGTCTACTAATGAATAATGATAATGGGTCAGCTGTACGCCGTAACGGCATTTCGCTGCCGCGCAACGACCATCAGTCACGCACGGACTGAGTATACCGCTTGGACGCCCACCACTACACGGATACGAACCGGTGATCTTATGATTGCAAGCCAGGCTTACAGGCCACTCAGCCACCGACCAATTGATTGTATTATTTTCGCTGCTTCCAGTTAATTGTTATCTGCCCTACCTATAAATAATAAATAGATAAACGTTTTATTTCTCGACGATGCGAGGCTCAGTCCAACTGAGTAGTCTGAATAATCTGTATATGGCGATTGCATAAAACAGTTAATTGTTCATGTTGTGTACAACGGATCTTAAATGGAAATTCGAAGTGATTTGCAGTTTAAAATATTAGAGAGATTAAGAAACTGGGAACACTAACCAGTGCAACTTTTCCAAAAATTTCAAATTAGGTAATACCGCTACCCATACAACCATCCCCAGGGGACCTGCTTCCATGCAGGATATTCCCTCCATAGGTTTACCCTACACTTCCATACCCCAACTGGCCGGTGTGGCAAAATAGCACATAAGCCACCATCTTTTGAAAAATGTTATTATTATTATTATTATTATATGATGGATGTTTTTATGCATACGTTATAGAATATGAAGCCTCAGCCTGTTTCGTCATGCGGACCATCCAAATTATGGCACATTTTCGTTATGTGCTAGGGAGTCATTGGCAGTATCACTCCTTGCATGGGGGTACACTTTTCTTCCTTCCTAGCAATCCGTAACCCGTCACCTCAAGAGATCAGTCCAGTAGTAGTGGCCAACAGTGAAATAAGAAGGAGTATAAACTATGAGGAATTGAAAACAATACTGTTCACAATATTTTGCCGTTAGACTAAGCCGCAATTTTAATAGAAAATCATGGCGAACAACGATGACCATGCAGTGATTTCAGCTTGAAAGACGTAGTTTATGTCATACGTTAGCAATTGCGAATCATTCATTATACATCATAGCTGCATGTGGAAAACACCTCGGCTATGGTGTCGCAATACAAAAAGGAAGAAGAAATATGAAACATAGGCACGCCGGCTGATTCACCAGTAACGGATGGACATTGTTCCGAAGAGCTAACGGCCGATTGTTGTACCGTTAAAAGTCATATAATGCCTATTAGCTGAGATCATGGTTGGAGGGGAAGCTAAGCGGAGGGGGATGGACAAAGAAACTCACAACACACGCCATTGAAGCCTGTTACTAGCCATGTCAAGAAGTATATCCAGCCAAACGTTTTTATCATCCTTCGGTCCCCTATCAGGGAGCCTGAAGGCTCCACTCGAAGCTAACTTCGAAGTAAGGGCCTTCATTCCTCTTGGCCAAGGCTTCGCTTGGCCATCTCATCTCTGCTTCCATCAGCACCTCCGGCGCGCAAACAACGCACGTCGCAGGAGTCGGTGAGCTGGCATGCGTAACACGTGGCCGAGCCATCGGAGCCTGGTGCGTGAAATGACGGTGCTGAGCGGTTCATTTCCTTTTCCTGTGCCGTAAACAAGGCGTCGAACACGCTCGCTGATCACGTGGTGTTCCCCACAGATGTAATTAGTGTAAATAATTAACAAGAGCAGGCCCCCGAATTTGAAGAGGGCTGGATGAAGATCATCTGATCCCGCAGGTTTATTCAACAGTCCGATCTTACGTTCGACTTCTGAGCGGGAGGGCGGATCTACAGGGACAGCCCACGGAGCGGTGCGATCAATGGCAGGTGAGGGACCTAACAATTCCGGTCGATTAAATTGCTTTTTAAAATGCGTAGCCCAATGCTCTAAACGTTTTGACAAGTGGATAGACTGTCCACCCTCGTCACGTATAGTTTCACTAACACCAAGTCTCTTACTGCTCTTTCCGGTATCAGACGGAACAACTTCCGATGGTTACCAAGGCCAGCGGACACTTCCATCCCTGGCGCACCATGAAACCACCACGCTTCACGGTCTCTCGTCAGGCTAGCAAGGAGTTTTGCCCTGATGTCTTTGCGAGTCTCGTTATATTCGCATCCAGCCGTAATGTACCGGCGAGCTTTGATAAGTTCCAGAAACTGCGATGAGACCCAGTGTATATTTTGGCTAGTGGATTTACCACATGAGGATTTACCTGCTTCAAGTAAGGTCTGGTGAACATGCGACCAGTGACCTTCAACTGTATTCAGTGAGCGCTTACTCAACCCGAACGCCAGCGTACTTTGATACGTATTCAGAACACCTGGCTTCGCCAGTTGGCTGGTGTCTATGCGCCCACAGTGTCGTCGAGGACGACCGCCAAAACGCACCTGCAGATCAGCACATACAAGTGCATGGTCAGTGTCCACACATGTGCTCCAAATGGAGGGACAGTTTTGGACGCAGCCTCTCCAGTGATAACTGATCGCGATGTGATCGATTTGCGTCCATTGCTGCTTCGAGGCTATTGGGCGCCATGTCACTCTCCGGCGGGTGTTTTGTCGGAACATAGTGCTCGCAACTAATAATCGAGCATCTTCACACAAATGAAGTAACCGCTCACCGTTATCATTACGGTAGCCTATACCATGTTGGTCGCCCAGATGCAACTCATCAGTGTACAGTATCCCAACTTGAGCGTTCAGATCTCCAGCAAGCATAACAATGCCCGAGCTTCTTCTGTGACGAAGGAGCTCGTTCAATTGACGATAGAAGTCGTTTTTTACCGAATCATCGCTAGATTTTGTGGGCGCGTAGGCAGTGATGACGAATAGACACTTGTTAGTCCCACGCGACTTCGAAGTTTTGCACGTTCCAGCCAATCGGACCACACACATCCGGCTACTGATAGGAATCCAATCAACCAGAGAATCTTTGATCGGAAGTCCTCTGGTCGTACTCCGATTTTTCTTTATCATGTTTGGCCTCAACACGCAGCCTCTGGTCAGGAAACCGAAGATCCAACGTGTCGTCAACCTCCTTCCGAACATCAACTCGCCTAGTCTCTTCCCAGTCGCTTCTTTTGGCTTCGTGGTGTAGCCGAAATGAAATTAGTCCAACGTTCTTCGCAGTGGAGCGGAGGCTTGTTACCGTAACTCATTCTTGACCGTCCGGACGGCTCTTTTAGCTAAACCATTTGAAGCTGGGTGGTAGGGGGCTGATTTCACATGATGTATGTCGTTGATTTTGAGGAACTCTTGAAATGCCTGACTAGTAAATACGGAACCGTTGTCTGTTGGCAGCGTATTTGGTTTACCGAAGGTACTGAAATGTGGCATATGCAAGCTGAAAAACCTACCCATTTGGGATATGCATCAATCCTGAGGAGAAACATTTTTCCATCCAACGGCCCAAAGCTGTCTGCGTCCGTGCGTTTCCAAGGTTTACTTGGTCGGAGGGGCGTTCCTCTAAGTGCTTTGACACACATCGCAGTGTCGGATCAACTGTACGATATCTGTCAATATTAGGCCACCACACAGGATCGCGTAAGTGCCTTCATTCTCGTGATTCGTGGGTGCGTTTCCTTAAGTTCTTGTAAAACATTCTATCGCAACCTTGGTGGTATGATCGCTCTAGATCTCCATAACGGACACCCATCCTCGAGACTACGCTCTGTGCGTCGGGTAAACTAGGGCATTAGTTGCGGTTCACTGCTGTGAGGCCATTCTTGAGAGACTAGACGCTTGACTTTGGTCCGTAATATATCCCGTTCAGTTTTCTGACGGATATCTGCATTTGACATCTGATTTTCGCCCAAATGTTCTAGCAGATGGATAAGTGCGCAATCGGGTAGGTGATTCAGCGGTATACGGCTCAGAGCGTCCGCGATTCTACTTGCTTGCCTAGGGATATAGGCTGTCTTGTAATTGTAAGCGGAGAGCAATAAAGCCCAGCGTTGCATACGAGGTGACGCCATCTGGTTTATTCCTTTTTCTTCTCACCAATCAGCGTTAATAGAGGTTAGTAAAGATTACGAATTTTCTTCTCCACATACACGGGTGGAATTTCTCGACTCCAAAGATAACCGCTAAGACTTCTCTGTCTAGCTGCACATAGTATTTGTTCATTGGTGCCAAACTTCTGGACGCAAAAACTATGTGTCGCTCGGTCACGTCTTCCATTTGGTGTGATAGTACGGCCCCGAGCCCTGTGGGTGATGCATCGCAACAAAGAGTGATCTGTTTGGGTCAATACATTAACAACTTAACGTTACTGATAGCCAATCTGACAACATCGTTAGCTTTCTGTTGTTCATTGCACCGGAGCCACCTGGCGACGCTTTCTCATTCCTCGTGTGAAGATGACACAGCTTCCAGTGGCGATCAGGTCGTTGTGGACATTGCTTCGAGGCGTTGTGCTGAAGCTGCTCTGATGGATTGTATCCCTATGAACAACTATATGTGCGCCGCTAGATTGTCTGACACATTGAAAGCTTCGAAGTCTCGCGGGGACAAACGGTAATGCTTCGAAAGTGCTATGCTACCTTGTAGCCGTACCTTGAACCCGTATGTCGACGCTGGACGCACTTCGACGTTCGTTTTATCGCTGACTGTCCGGCCAGTTTTTCATCTCTTCTACTTGCGAATTGTTCCCTATGAATTTCGCAATCACTCTCTGTTGAATACTGCCTCTTGAATACGTCAGGTTCTAACAATGTGATACCAACTCTCCTACTCGGATGAACGAATGAGACTCAGAATTATTTTCTCGCACGGCACGGTAACTGACAGTCTTGATTTCTGTGGGTTCTCGGAACTTAGCCGCGAAAGATTAATTCACGCGAGTCGAACAGGTTCCTAGACCGAACGCAAAGTTTCTACGCACGATTTCCCAACCCAAGACTGAATCAAGAACAAGACAGGCCTTTTGCCACAGGCGCTTTTACTGGCCAAAGCTAAGGCGATTCTAGCGTTGTACAGCCTCATTTTTATGTCACGAAGCGGTGATGAAGGGGGGTTTTCCCTTG